GACTTGAAATAGTGCAACATTTATGTTGACGACAACTACACCAACTCTTACTCTGTCAACCGCTCTCAAAAACGGACAACATTGATTGCAGGCATGTTTTCCAACAACAACACACTGAAACCAATGATAATATTATCAAAATTGACAACTAAAAATGAAATCCAGTCGATACTCCATCGGATCGGACTTCTATTGGATTGTTATTCAATTGGATTTGGTTTTATATCTAATCAAATCTTGTTCCAATCCGATTTAATAAATATAAAACCCATATAATTACTAATTAATAGCCTAAAACAATCATATTTTCTTTTTTCTTTTTTGGTTTTGTGAAAAAAAATCTGACTTAATAGTATAAAAATCAACAATTTGGTAATCTATACAAACATGTTATTTTTGGTGATAAATACATTTAATTTGTCAAAATTGTTAAACCAAAATTATAACAATAAAATACAATAATAGCTTAAAACAGATTTATTATAATAGTAATATGAAACTTGGTGAACAAGTTAGTGTTCACTAATTAGTTGAACATAAGTTTTTATTAAAATAATTGCAATTATTACATATTACAAAATAAGGTTTAAACCACATTTATATCTATTCGCAATTTCTAATATACTCGGTCTTTTAATGTCATCTGGCGGACATGAAATAGCTTAAATTTTGTCAAAACATTAAGCATTAGGTATAAAGTAAAAAAATGGAAACAATTGAAATGGATTTTAAAGACAGCTTCCCGAAATATTCCAATCCCTATGTTTTAAAAAATACCAGATAACGTTTAAAAATAGACTGTATTGTTTTTTAGCTGCTTAATATTAAGAATCTCTTTTTGTTTTATAACATAAAGTGGTGAAATAGATGCTATTATAATAAATCCATCATGTTGTTTATGTGTTTTTAACATACAAATTGAAATATGAATAATAATAAAAATTGATATGTTTACACGTGTCTTTTATTATTGTTCTGTTAAAACATTTATTTTACTTTTTTAAATTATGTTTTTGTCAAAAGAAATAAATAATGCCAAACAATATGAAAATTAAATAAAATTTTCTTTTTATTTTCCAATCCTTGGGATAAACCATTTTCCCATTATTCCAATCCGATAGAGTATTGACTGTACATATATATATATTTATCTATGTATTTCAGATACATAGTAAGAGATGATGATGAAATTGTATATAAAAGCAAAGCTTTCATTACGGAAGACATATACATGATGTGGTTTGAAAGATGTCTTAAACCAAAACTAAACAGAGAAGAAAAAAATCCATAAAATGGGCTGTTTTAATACAAGATAATTGTGTTAGCCACATTAAAGACGTGGCTAAAAATGGCCGTTCGAAAATAAAGTTGCTTAATTATTGTTGTGCCCACACAGCAGCCACTTGTCTCAGCCACTGGAATTCGTCATATTTGTTGTTCAAAGGTTTTGTTTTTTTATTATGAAAGAACTCAATGAAATGATCTTGTTATACAAAGCTGGTATAAGTATTGTTACTGTTGTTGTATTTCTTTTATTGTTATAAACTGATAGAGAACAGTGGGTACTTCGATATTGTCTCGGTTTTTTGGTATCAAGTACCCCATTGGTATTTTGTCTCAAAGGGATGATAATGCAAATTATATCAAAAAGGCTACAAAGCGAAGAAAATGGAATTTTTAGAACTCAAAGATCAAGATGGTGCTTTTAATGCTGTTAAGTTAAAAAATTGTCTTATTGTATGGTCACAATAACAGTTTTTATAATGATCCAATTGTTCAAATTTGCAAGTGTAAACAACAACACCTCGGCCTTTCACATGTGAGGTTAAGTTAAAAAGCCAATTGGAAAAAAAGAGGGCACTTATGATGTTATAATATTCAAATGTAGAGAGTATGACCTCAGAATTCGATCGTTTTTATTGAACAAATTTGCATATTCCCTGTTGAATTTCCTTGAAGAAAATGAAGAAACCTATCCATTGGTAAAAATGAAGGCATTTCAAATTAATCAAAAAATTGTGTTATGTTTTGTTTATTTTTGGAATATTTCTGAATAATTTTAATTTAAATTGTGCTGACTTGTAAGAATAAGTAATAACCTTTAAAAATGTAATTCAAAACGACATATTATTATTCTTATCAATCATTGATAATAATATTTAAGTTTATAAAAATTAAAAATATGGTTTAAAAAAATCTTTTTAATACAATTGTCAAATTGTGACATTATGTATACTTTTAGTTTTTTATAAATTAACTCTGATTTTTACCTCTTTAATATATCAATAAAATTGATATTTTTATTATTTACTTGTGTTTAAGTAACAATTGTATTTGAATTGTTTATTCTCATATTAACCATGCTTTACACACCTGCTTATTGTTTGTTTGTTTTTTTATTTATTTAATGTGCTTATCAATAGCTTGATTTGTTTAAGTTGAACCAATACTGGTTGTTATAACAATAAAATTGTGATTTTTTTGTTTATGTTTTGTTGATACAAAAAATGTTGACCATATAGGTTACAA